TCTCTTGGCCCTTGGGTCCTAGATTCTGGTGCTACCGATCATATTTCTGGTAATCGGTCTCTTTTCTCCTCTCTTTCTACCTCTCGTTATTTACCTTCTATCACTATGGCTAATGGCTCTCGCGCCACCTCTCATGGTGTTGGTACTATCCATCTTTCTCCTTCTCTCTCCATTGACAATGTCCTTTATGTCCCAGAGTCTCCTTTTAATTTATTATCACTTAGTCGTCTTACTCGCTCTCTTGATTGTCTTATCTCTTTTACTAAAGATTCTGCTTTCTTACAGGACCGGAGTTCGGGACGGATGATTGGCACCGGATGTGAGTCTCATGGCCTTTATCACCTACGCCCTTCTGCTCCTGCTGGTTTGGTGGTGGATTCCCCTTCTCTCATCCATGCCCAATTAGGCCATCCTAGTCTTGCCAAGCTTCAACATCTTGTACCACGTCTGTCTAAGTTGTCTCATTTGTCGTGTGAGTCGTGTCAATTAGGCAAACATAGTCGTAGTTCCTTTTCTCAGAGTGTCCCCAACCGAGCGTTGTCTCCTTTTGCTTTAGTTCACTCTAATATTTGGGGGCCGAGTCGGGTTAAGTCCACTTTAGAATTTCAGTATTTTGTAACTTTTATTGATGATTACTCTCGATGTACTTGGTTATTTTTAATGAAAAATCGATCTGAATTATTTTTCATATTTCAATCCTTTTATAATGAAATTCATAATCAATTTGGTGTTTCTATTCGTACTTTTCATAGTGATAATGCTCGTGAATATCTCTCTCACTCCTTTCAAGCCTTCATGACTTCCCATGGTATTCTGCATCAGACATCTTGTGCATATACCCCTCAACAAAATGGGGTGGCCGAGCGCAAAAACAGACACCTGCTTGAGACCACTCGCACCCTCTTACTTCATGGTCATGTTCCTCAACCTTTTTGGGATGATGTTGTTCTCACTGCATGTTATCTCGTCAATCGAATGCCATCTTCTGTTCTCAATAATCAAATATCTCACTATTTTGTTTCCCAATCACCCTCTCCACCCTCTACCTCCTCGCGTCTTTGGATCTACTTGTTTCGTCCATAATCATAGTCCTGGCCTTGACAAACTATCCGCTCAGTCTCACAAATGTGTCTTTTTAGGGTATCCTCGGTCTCAAAAAGGGTATAAATGTTTCTCACCCTCCCTTCGTCGCTATTTAATTTCAGCTGATGTCACCTTTCTCGAGTCTTCTTTTTACTTTCCTTCTCCTTCATCTTCTTCTACACATGTCCTTGCCCCCTCCTCGACCCCTCTTGCCCTTGATCCTCCTCTTATGTTTGTTGTTTCACCCGACCCACCACCTCCACCTCCCCTTCAAGTTTATCATCGTCGGCAACGCTCTCGCCTTCCTACTGGGCCCCCTGGCAACTCTCTTCCGGTGCCACCACCTTCGTCCCCTCCGGCCCAACCACTTGAGTCTGACCTCCCTATTTCCCTCCAGAAAGGTAATCGTTCTACTCGTAATCCTTCCCCTCATTATATTACTTTGAGTTATCACAGGTTATCCTCTTCCCAGTATACTTGTCTCTCTTCTATTTCCTCTGTGTCTATTCCTAAAACTGTAGGTGATGCCTTAGCCCACCCTGGTTGGCGACAGGCCATGATTGATGAACTATGTGCTCTTCAGAACAATGGTACTTGGGATCTTGTTCCTTTGCCTCTTGGGAAGTATGTGGTTGGGTGTCGCTGGATCTTCACAATCAAGGTTGGTCCTTATGGCACCATTGATCACCTCAAAGCTCGTTTGGTCGTCAAAGGTTATACTCAAATTTTTGGATTAGACTATGGTGATACATTCTCCCCCGTTGCCAAGATGGCCTCTGTCAAATTATTCTTAGCCATGGCTGCTCTTCGCCGTTGGCCTCTCTATCAACTACTAGATGTTAAAAATGCCTTCCTTCATGGGGATTTGCTAGAGAAAATTTATGTGGAGCAACCTCCTGGGTTTGTTGCTCAGGGGGAGTCTTCCGATTTGGTATGTCGTCTCCGCAAATCACTTTATGGTCTTAAACAGTCTCCAAGGGCATGGTTTGGTCGATTTAGTACCGTAGTCCAACAATTTGGTATGACTCGAAGTGAAGCTGATCATTCTGTTTTTTATCGACATTCCACTGTTGGGTGCATCTACTTGATAGTGTATGTTGATGATATTGTTCTTACTGGCAGTGACCATCATGCATTTCTCAGATAAAACAACATCTTTGCTATCACTTTCAGACAAAAAACCTTGGTAAACTTAGATATTTCTTGGGGATTGAGGTAGCACAATCTAAAAATGGAATTGTAATATCTCAAAGGAAGTATGCATTGGATATTTTAGAGGAAACTGGGCTAATGAGCTCCAAGCCCATTGATACACCTATGGATTGATTATATTTGTAACAAGCTTGGTGCATATGATCTATATACACCAGCTTGAGGGGGAGTGTTAGATATAGTTTGACTACATGGGCTTAGGCCCACTACTTTGTATATAAACCTATCTTTCATTTTGCAATACACAAGGATATGTTCATTGCATTTACCATTTCTCTCAACAATAATAATAATTAATAATAAAGAGAAGTTAGTTTCTAAAAAAAAAAATAGTGAAGTAAAAGGCCCTTAATCAAATCAAAAGAAAAAATAAAACTTGGCCCATTTGGCCCAACTTTTCCAACCCTAATTATTTTTCCACCCTTCTAATCGTGAGCCGTCACCGCTGCCTTCCCTCTTATAAGAAGACAGGTCTGTAGATGCTGGAGAAGACAGAGCCACCATCGGAGAAGACAGAGCGCTGTCAGAGAAGACAGATAGACAAAGATCTACCACAGAAGACAAATCGACGGAGATTCGTCGGAGAAGAAGACAGATCGGTGGAGATCTGCCGGAAAAAGAAGAGAAGATTCGTCGCCCACCCGCAATCGCGCCGCCACGCTTCGCCGCTTTCGCGGCTGCTCTGACCACTCCTTCAAAGTGCTCCGCAACAAACTTTTTGTAGCGGCACGGAGCCGCTTCGCTCCAACCCGACACGCCGCGATTGCGACTATGACAACCGCTATTGACTACTATGTTTTTAAGGAATGGCACTCTTAATTCATTATAGCTTGGTGGCGTTAAATGGGGACCATAGGTGCCAATAGCTTCAACCATCAATTTGAAGCTCTTTGATCTATAGCAACATTGAATGCAATTCCATTCCGATAAAAAAAGCGAGCAATGTATTGAATTACCCTTGCTCTTGCTTCCTTATTACAAGCATCATTTAAACTTGTTTGCCTCAACCCCTTATTCAATTTGATACATTCTTTTGCCTTTCTAGTTAAGTGCAAATCAAGGGGACCTTTGACATTTATACTCCTCTTGGTAACAGAAGTGGCTTCACTTGATGTGGATAAAGGTCTCTTAATTCTAGCAATGCCTTGGATGTCATCCTCCTCTTCATTTTCATCCACACACTCCAACTATACTTCTGAGGAAATTTTTTACCTCTCATAGGCAACCTTCATTTCCAATTTTAGATCCTCGAGAATTTTTCTAAAAGCACCTACATCGCCTTTTATTCCAAGTTGATGTTTTTTTGCTCTAGTAATTCCTTCGGTAGATGTTTTTAGACAAAAATCAAACGTGACTCTTATTATTTTTGTCTTTTAAGCTGTTCCACTTCCAAAAGATATCAATATTGTCACCAATGGGCTTAAACATTTCTGTTGTGGGAGTGGGACCAGAATTGGGATTAGTTTCAGTTCCAGCAGCGGTTGGTTGGCTCATGATTACACTGATTATCAAAGACAAAAACAGCCTAATAAAAAGATAACAGAATCAGAAATTAAAAAAAATAAGCTGTTGAATTAGAAATAGAGAAGCAACTGAATTAATCAGAAATTAAAAAAATAAAAAATAAAAAATACTGAATTAGAAATAGAGAAGACAAAAGAAGACAGACGAGACAGACTGGAAGAGATGTCAGATCTGACAAACTAGAGGAGACGTTGAATGACCTCGTTGAGAGAGATAGAGAGACGCCTGAAAAAGACAACCGGAGTGCGTCGTCGGTCGTCCCCGTGAGAGAATCGTGTTTGAGAGAGAGAGAGGGAGTGCGAGAAGTTGAGAAAAGAAGAAGAGTGGTTTCGCAAAATCACACGAGAAAGGAAGAATTAGGGCAAAAAAACCCAAGTGAAATGACAGACTTACCCTTAATGAAGGATCTGTCCAAGATGCGCCACGATTCCGCGATTTTTTCCGCTCCGCTCTGCGATTGACTCGGCCGCTCCAACTGTGACATGAAATCGAGACGCGACATCATCACAGTTGCAGTGTTGGGCCGCTCCGATCCAGAGCGCCGCAATAGCAGCCGCTCCAACTGCGATTGACTACTATGATTCAATCTACGCGTAATCTTAACCCTTTATATGCATGTACTTTTTCTTGTCATCGATTCTCTCCTTCCTATCTTTCTTTTGTTTCCTCTTTGGATTTTGTTGCTATTCCTAGGTCTACAGGTGAGGCTATGGTTGATTCTCGCACTGATACCAACTTGAGATTTAGAGGATTTAAATAAATGCTTGAGTGACTCAACTTCACTCAGCAGAAGTATGTGTGCGTGTGTGTGTGTATATATATATATATATGCAAGAGCAAAGTTACAATGAGACCAAAAAGTATTACATTCTGAATCCTAGTAGAGTTAGACAGTCATAGCAATAGGGGAAAGTAAAAAAACAGCTTTACATGACATATGACCACAAAAATATATATTAATCTAGCACCAAAAGCTTGCCAAGAGCTACACTTTACAAGGGAATTTCTTTTTTGCATTCTTTAAAGGACACCACCACTGGGCCAGTTAAAGAACCAGTTGGTCCAAAAAATATACTATGAAAGGGATAAAACTAGATATACAAATCAAGGTTTACACTTTTAACAACTAACAATGGCATCTATTCAAAACAACAATATTTGTAAACCACTACATTACATACCATGCCCCCACGACTTGTCCAAGATATGCCTTTCCATCTTGAAACAATCTCTGTAAGAGTTTTAATGGCAACATCAACCTGGCAAAGATACACAAATGAAGATAACATCAAAAGGTTGAGCATTATTAACTTCCCAATGCTAATAAAAATGTTCAAAACTCAAAATGATAGGAAATTAAGTGAAAGAGTTTTCTTTTATACAAAGAAAAGTTAAGTGATATATGAAGACGAATGTTATTAACCAACTTTGTATGAAATAAATTAATTTCACATACAATAAAATAACAATTATACGAATTATGAAATATCATGATACAAAATCACATAATACATGCTTTCATCATTATTCATTTATGTGAGTTAGAAGATGAGTCTCAGGTCCTCTGCACGAGAAGTAACTTCTTTACCTCATAAACCTTATGAGGAGACTTAAATAACTAAATTAGGTTTTGTGATCTTCATAAGAGTTGTCACCTTGAATGTTAGTATTCCAATGACGTTGGAATCACATAAAAAGAAGGTCTAAAACTTATGATATGATCAAATTAGTGAGTGAAGATTAAGCTATTAGATTTAGGCTTAAATGCTACAGTTTTGTAATTTTTTAAAAATAGTAATGTTAAAACTAACCCTTGAAGTCAACAAAGAAGTTGTAAATTATTGTCTTAACTTTCTAATAAAATTAAGATGAACTTGATATAATAGGTGTAATTATAGATGTCGTCTTTATACCACATGAGGTCATAGAAGCTTAAGATAGTAAAAGAGCATTGGAGTTATAATGGTGAGTATTAAGAACAATGAGCAAACTCAGAGGGACTTAGTCTCATGACTTGTTATATGAAAGTTGAAAGAGTAATTATAATGTGTATATGAAAAGTTTAAAGGGTTAGAGCTATGTATTTGAGATGCTGTGTGATAAACTATTGTGCTATGAGTTATTATGTGTTTGAGATGTTTGTGTTTGTGAGCTATATGATCAATTGAGAAAAGTATGTATAGGAGTTTTGTAATGGATATGTTATGTGAATGACATGAGTATGTGATGAGTTTATGAAGTGAAATGTTTCATAGAGTCTTATATGTATGACATGCATCATATGCATAAAATGTTTTATGCTCATACATGTGCATCATGTGCATAAAATGTTTTATCGTACATGAATTTTATTGGCACATGCATGTATATATCTAGATAAGTCCGTGTCCATTGCATCAAGTGTATGAGTTGTGAATATTTACAAATTGAGTGATACATTATTGTTAATTCTATTGTGTTGCTTATGATTTTAATATCATCTGTGTATGTTGTATGACTTGTGAATGCAAATGAATGTGCATTATGCGACTGATATTATATCCCTCAGTATATGTTTATGGGTGTGGCTACTCGGCATTATCTCACAATGGGAGCCAAAGTTAGACGCATTTTACTCTCGTGTTTTGTGTTGATTGTTTTTGTTATGTGTTTTGCAACTAGGGTCATGAGGATACTAGTGATGAGGCATAATGCCTTGGCTATGGTTAGGATATGCTCTAATAAAGGATGTGACATCAGGAGATTTGGAATTTATGATGTATGTTGTATGTTTCATTTTGGAATCTTATGTTAGAACTCATTTATGTTGATTGCAGACCTTTTTATTAGTTTTTTTGGAGTTTTGTATGACTTTTTATGCTTCTCGGATTATTCTTAATTCAAATTTTATCTTTTCTAAAAGTTTGAGTTAAAACTTAATTTAATATTACAAAACAAATGTGAGTCCTCTACCTAAGGAGGCATTTTGCGAACTATTTTCATCTTACAATTAAAATTTTTATTCAAACTTTCAGTTGTTTACTATTATTCATATGTTTGTAATATGGGGTAGATGGTGTCACCACCACCGTAACAATTGTCAACACTATGGCAACAACTAGCACATCCATCTCCATGTGGTTGTGGTTGTGGCAACGGTGGCAATACCATCAATGCCACCACTATCATTGTCCCTACAATCATTGCTATCACAACAGCTAGAAAGCAATTGTTGGGGCGAGAGTGATAACAACCATTGCTGCCACCACCACCATTGTCATTGTCTCTACCACTATCATTATTATTGTTACCATTCATTGTCGCCACAACTATCGCCCTTCACTATCGCCATGTGGTAGCAACAATGCTAATTGTGGTGACAATGATAGTGATAATGGTTACGATAGCCATAGCAATGATGGTGGTTGTCATTGTCACTACAAATACCACCCCACCATCATTGTCACCACATGGAATAATAATGTGGGGGCAATGGTTGTGCAACAATGATGAAAGTTGTCACAACAGTAACAATGGTTGGCACTAGGGTGGGGGAAGTGACAATGAAGTCAACCAAGGGTTAGTTTTAGTTGTTCTTATATATATATACACACGGCAGCAGCAGTGGTAGTAGCAATGGCAATGGTTGTGATATAGTAGCCACAGGGATGACATGACAATGGTGGAAATAACTATGATGGTAGTGATACGTAGTAACTTTATTTGTAATCTTTTAATCGAAGCTGATTATTTTAATTTAAGAGTTGTTATTAGTTGTTTTCATGTTCTCATATCAGCAAATATTCTCACTTGAGTCTATATATTAAAGATAAGATTTTAGTTTTTTTATTTTCATTATTTATTTTTAATTACTAAATCTTATAATGTGTGAGTGATCCTAACTCAATCTCACAAAACCAATTTGTGAGATGAGAATTGTTTTCCCCTTGTATTCTCTAATTTTGCCATATCACTAGTTGATGTGAGATTTTCAACACACTCCTCATGCCACGAGGATCAAACATCTCAAGCATGAATTTTGTAAGACTAGACATTTACAAGAGGTCCTATAATAGCCTGATCACGTGAGGCATTGTATACCAACAACAATAACTAGTATAAGCTCTAATACCATCTTAGAACGTGGGTTTGAATCCAACTCAACCTTACAAAACCAGTTTGTAAGGTGAAAATTGTTTCCTTTTATATTCTCTAATTTGGCCATACCACTAATTGATGTGAAATCTGCAACATTAAAAATATAAATTGTTTTAATAGTTCAATAACTTAAATCATAACAATAATTAAATAACAAACATAAAATTATACATTTAACAAAAAATATTATTTATTTCTCAACTTTTTATTTTTTAAGTTCTTTGTTATTTATTAATTGCTATATATTATTTGAATTAAAATATAATTAATCACATAACATAATTTATTTATAAATGTATAAATAAATTAAAAATGAAAAAAAAAAAATATATATATATATATATGATGAGTTTCCCGCAGATTTATCTAAACCCAAAAAAACCCAGCA